CTTCGGCTCAGGTCATGATCCCAGGTCCTGGGATCAAGCCCCGAATCTGGCTCCCTGCTCAGTGGGGAGTCTACCTCTCCTTCTCCCCCTCCTCCTGCTCATGCTCTCTCTCTCTGTCGAATAAATAAAATCTTAAAAAAGAGACAGTTGGGAGTTCCTGCAGGAATGTCATACTCTGCCTGCTTCAAGGATTTGTCAATGGGCTGCAGGGTATATGGAAATTTAATTTTATCTACATTCCCTTCTGCCTTTGTTCCCCACATCACAGCCCCTGGGCAGAGAAAACGGGTCGTGCCTCTCCTGAGACCTTCTTCCTCTGGACTGTGTCTGGTTGCTCGAGAACCACACTGTCGCTGCAGGGTAGAGGGGTAAGGGACCCAGGGCCAGTCCCTGGGCATCAGTACTCACCTCACAGTGGCTCAGCTCCCAGAGCCGTCATTGACACCATTTGCAGGAGGATGATTAAATGTCTTTTAAACACAAGGATTTGGGAAAGAGTTACCCAATTGTATGCACAGCATTCTCAACCCTTCCCCTCAGCGTTTCTTTTTTTTTTTTAAGATTTTTTTTTTATTTACTCATTTGAGACACAGAGATACAGAGAGAGAGCATGAGCAGGGGGAGCAGCAGAGGGAGAGGGAGAAGCAGACTCCCCGCTGAGCAGGGAGCCCGATGCGGGACTCGATCCCAGGACCCTGGGATCATGACCTGAGCCGAAGGCAGACGCTTAACCATCTGAGCCACCCAGGCGCCCCTCCCCTCAGCGTTTCTTGAAGGACCTGTCAGTGGGTGGTCAGCCTGTTAGAGAACTTAAATCTTAGATCTAGTTTCTCATGAATCCATGACCTGTCTACCACATTAAATGCAAACCTGCCCAACGTGCTCATCCGCTTGACTTTGGCCCAACTAGACAATTCACTGCTCCCTAACCTGGCTCCATGCCTCACCACCTCTGTGGAGGCTCCCAGGGAGAACAGTCGTGTCTGACTCTCTGCTGCACCCCATCAACCCAAGGGCATCCTGTGACTCCTGGCGAGTTCCTCAGGCCCAACTCTTGTCCCTTCTTTGCACACCTCCCCTGCCTTTCTATTGATATAACCCTCCTTTCTTTGTCCAGTGGATAAGCACAACAGCAAATAAAGTGTTCACAATATAGGGGCATTCGCAGGAAGGCTGCAAGATGCAAAAATGGCAAGAAAGCTCGCTGGCTGAGGATGACACAAGGTATTTGTTCACACTGGATGGTTGGGTGACAACAAGTCAGCCTGTGGGAAATAAAGCCTCTGCTTCTACTTGCTCACCTCCTGACCTTGAGAAGTAGCTCTCTGCCTTGGGTTTGGAGGGAAGACAGTATCTTCTAAAGCAGGGGAAGGCATAGGTAGATGCCTTCAGGAGCTCTGCAAACATATCAAGGCACAAAGCAGGGCAGATGGGACCACCTGCTCAGCTGGGCTTTAAAACCTCCCTGGAGGCCTAATTCACTGGCAGAACAAAGTACCTCCATGTTTGGTCTCCAACTAGAGGCCTACAGTTTGCTTCCTTTCTGGAAGAAAAGGTAATCTATGGTTATATAATTGGAGGAAGGTTTTCTTTTTCCTGTTTCCTTGCTTTCATTATTTTGTAGAAAAATAATTAAGCTAAAATAGCAGTGATAAATCAGAATGCCAGAAACCACCTGGCATATACCTATTCATGATAGTGAGAACAGGTAAACAGGAGGCCACAATAAGCTGGCATTGACTTGCAACCCCTACCACCGTCTCAAAGATTCCACGTCATGCGAAATCTTGAGATGCTGATGAGGTATTCAGGAGGGCCGTGCAGAGCAAAGCACTATTCTAGCTGGTGACAATGCAGTAATATCACAAGGAGGGGAATGCAGAGAACTTTAGTATTGTGATGGTTTAGAGCATGGACTTTAAAGACAGTCAAAGTCCAACCAGAGAAACTGAAATAAATTTAAGAACCTCAAATGGGGAGAATTTAATATAGATGGTTATCTAAGAGAGCTGAGAAGCCAAATGTATGGTGAGTCACCTCAGAATTTGCAGCAGGGGAAAGGTACTACTGTCCCCAAGGCCAGAGGGACCAAAGGAGGAAGGAGGTAGTATTTCCAAAGCCTAGGATATGGCACTCCCAACAGGTCATGGCGGACCTGCCTAGTGGAAGCTAGGACCACGGATGACGTGGCTTTCTGGTAGGAATTAGAGGCACAGAGGAGGTGCTTCCTGAGGTACAGCAGAGGAATACCTTGGCTTCTCACCACCTCCTGCCCTCCCACCATCTGCTAAGGCACCCCTTTGGCCCAACTATGTGGTACCTGGAGAGCAGGGGTTCCTGCAAAATGTATACAGTTCCCTGCAGTTCATAGTATGGCCATTGACTAGCTGGGTGGCCTAGGGCAAGTCACTCAACCTACACCGCCGTGTCCACCACTGTAAGACTGGGATAATGCCTCTCTTCCTGTGTAACTCATCCAACAGCGGCCATAACAAATGGCCATACAGGAGAGGGGCGGGGCCACGCTGGGACTGTGATAAGGTAAAGAAAGGAGCGGATATCCCAGATTCCTGTGCTGGGAGTGGAGGCCATCATCTTTAAGCTGCCTGAGTATCACCATCCCCTCACTGGTTATGCTTCCTGAGGGCTCCCCGGTGATGCTTGGGTCCCATGGTCATTGGCAGTTGTCAGCCAGTTTCACAGCATTCACTCTGAGGACTTCCACGGCCTGCTTATGGCTGAGGTGCAGATGCTCAGAGAGCGAAGGAACTTACTCAAGGAAACTCACGGAGTCAGTGTTCGGGCTGACAGTTAAACCGCTAACTTCTCTCTCCAAACCCAGTGCCTGCCTCCATGTAGCAGTGCCCCTGGGCCCGAACCTTGCATCAACCAAATCTCTGCTCCGTATTTTCAAAATCGAATTAAAAAAAGAAAAGATTGGTGGAAAGTCTAACACAAAAGAGTTAAATAACTGACGTCTCTCCTCCTCAACCTTGTCAACATCGGGAAAGCGCGTCAGAGCAGAGGGAGAATCCAGCACGCCAGCCAGCGCGTCGGCGTGTGGGGTCTGCAGTTCCGAGCTCGGGACCCGAGGCACCAGCTCTTCCTGGCGCATCAGATGCCACAGGCGGGTATTCGGTATCAGCTGGGGGACGTGCAACTACTAGGACTGGAGAGGCAACGAGTACTTTGGACATTCAAAAAAAAAAAAGGTACAATAAGCCAGGAAGAAGACAAACCCCAGTTACCAGTGGTTCCCCCAGGTAGAGGAAAAGCGAAGAACATTGTCCAACTCTTCTATTATTTGAATTTTTACCACAAACATTCAAAACTTTTATAAACCTTCTCAAAATACTCCTCAAAGTTCCTTTTGTAGTGAGGAGGATACCACTGCCACAGCCCAGTCCCCGAGCCCCAGCTTCCAAAGCAGCGGATGAAGAAAAATAGCTTTCATTCCCAAAGAGCCTCTCATGACAGAGTGGCATTGCCTTAGAAATGCCTTCCAGTCTTTGAAGGAACCAGGTAGACCACGAGGTCACTGGGGAGGTCTGTTTTCCATGTGGAACAGTAAATCATCCCCCCATGAGCAGAGGACTCCAGCCCCACACCCGGGTTCCTACAACGCCCACCCCGCCCTCTCTTTTATCCGATGGAAGACTGAGCAAGGCTGTCTGCACAGCTAACACCCATCCTGCCCCACACTCACTTCCTTCCCCGCTTAAAGATACCTGCTTGGGGGCATCTGAATGGCTCATTGGTTAAGCATCTGACTCTTGATTTCTGTTTAGGTCTTGATATCAGGGTCCTGAGATCAAGCCCCGTGAGGGATTCCGCGCTGGGCATGAAGCCTGCTTAGGATTCCTTCTCTACCTCTCTCTCTGCCCCTCCCCACTCCTCTCTCAAACAAAACAAAACAAAACAAACAAAAACACACCAAAAAACCTTGCTTTGTCTTAAATCCTGAACTTCTGAGAAAATTTTGATTTAAAAAAAATGAAGTGTCTACAACTCGAAACCCTTCTTAAATCATCGAAACCTGCCTTTCACTGTGAATTATCTTTCTTCTACATTTCCATAGCCCTGTGCTAGAACCCTTACGAGGACACTTGTCAAAATGCCCCCCTCTGTGGCTTCTTTGATTGCACGCACGTCTGCCTTTACCCATACAAGTGCTCTCTGAGAGAAAGAACCTGAACTGGTCCCTCTTTCCATATCACCCCCTTCCATCCCACTGACCCCGAGCACATGCCACTTGTCTATCTATAGGAGGTGTTCAGTGATAGCTTACAGAACCCGATGGGTGCACCAGGATCCCGAACACACGCTCCGAGAACTGATACCTGGAACTTCAGTGGATCCATTATAATTGCATTCATGCAACATAAGAGCCAGGCAACGTCATGGTGACTTCAGCTCCCAATTAAGTCGTCTATCGACAAATACAAACCACTAATGGATTCCTTAACATTTAATTCCAATAATTTTTTTTAAAAGTTGGTCCTTTCAACATTGAATCTATATCCAGTGGAAATCACCTGATCTCTGGACTTCCTTGAATGCTCCCAAGCCATGAGTAACCAGAAGTCTTAAATGCAACTTCCTAAGCCCCTTATTTGTATAGGGAGTGTCATCGACAAGGAAGAGGTGCCAGTCCACCAAATGCATCATCCTAGCATTCTTCTTCTCTGGTGAAGGAGAATGAGACACCTTGACTCATGAATCTGACAGTTTTCAGACGCTGATGAAGCGTAAACCATGTTTCACCCAAGTTATAGCCCACATTGCACGCAAAAGAGCATAGGGTCAGGGACTCGGGAAAGTAGTGCATTTTTCCTCCTTTTCCTATTATCTTGAAGCTGATCCCATTTTATCTCAATTTCAGGCATACGTGTGCAGGCTCAAGGTGTGACCCAGCCTTAGTTTACACCTAGATTCTGAATATGTAGAAAGCTGGACTGCTATGGTCCCAGGTGAGCTTCAGAATCTTCTAGGACTTTAGGAAGAGAGCTTAGAAGTGCCAAAGTGGAGGCAAGGCAGCTCCCAACTACATGCCCTGGGAATGCTCCCAAGAGGAGAGGGTCTTTGCCACCTATACCTATAACCAGCTCCGAGCCGGACCTGGACGTGCTCCTGGAGCCTAGAGGGCATCAGGATAGCTGTGTGCTCACATCAGGCTTGCTTCACCCTTCAGGTTTGCAATTATCTCAGGGTGAGTGGGCGTGGTCTGTGGGGTAAGAGACACTGGCATGAAGCATCAGGAAACACGTCATATTGTCATCATTGCACTATTAGAGGAATTGCAGCCGCTGCTTACTTGTACCCATGGCTGTGTGTCCTGCAATCCTTATAAAGTAGACGAGCACACCTTGCCATCAGTGTTAGGTTGGTGTCAGTGCGCTGCGAAGCCTGTCGGCCATGAGGATCTGTTACCTTCTCCTCCTGTTGCCCTTCCTGTTCTTGATGCCCGTTCCAGGTAAGATCGGTTGGGAGGCGAGAGGGTTGAAGGAATTGCAAATATATCATTCAGAGTCAGTCCCTTTCCATTCCTCGGGAACTTCAGACCAGGTAGATTTGTTGTATGGGAACAGACATCACCATTTTCTTTCTTCTGGTGAGAATCATCAAGGATCTTGAAGCGGTTTTCCCAATCTTTTCAGAGACTAAATAGCTCACAAAGACCACCCCTTTGTGGAAAGGGATGAACCTTACCTGCTCGTGAGACATAAAGAAAGTGATACAAAAACTTTAACCCCAGCAGGAAAGATGGGTTTAATCTGAGATCAGAAGGACAGACTTCTAGTTACTAGCTTTAGGGGTTGCAAGTAGAGTCTCTGGGAGGCTGCGAGCCCCGGGGACCCCTGCAGCCCCTGTGTGCCTGGTGGCCACACCCCTCCCCCAATGCCACCGCAGTCCCCAGCTGAGCTGTGGCCCCTAGAAGCACAGGTCAGTTGGTCTCTTAATCCTTCCTCTACTTTACTTCTCATTTTATAGAAAAAAGAAAAAGTAATTTTAAAAAAGAAAGAAAACACCCTAAAATAAAAGAAAAACAACCCCTGGGGATAGTGATCAGAATAACATTGTATTTATAAAGGAAATTACAAATTGGTATCCACCAAATCCAAACCAGTATGTGTTTTCTCATTTCTTAATTTAAAGAAAGGTATGTATGTGTATGTGTTCATCCCTATGAGGTATACAACTAGGAGTATAACTGAATTCACTTTCCAACTACCCGACCCTAAGTAGAAGTGTGTAGGGGGTGCAGGGCAAGGGAAGAATAGAAGAAAGGTAACAGATCAGTTATTTGGGGAATTTCAAAAGCCTTATACTTGGACTAAAGCCTTCCCGCGTGTTCTATTTATTCCTTGCAGGAAATGGAGGAATTATAAATACCCTGCAGAGGTATTATTGCAGAATAAGGAGCGGTCGGTGTGCTCTGCTTACCTGCCTGCCAAAGGAAGAGCAGATAGGCCGCTGTTCTTCCGCGGGCCGAAAATGCTGCCGAAGAAAGAAATAAAAAAAAAAATCCAGAAACGTGATGGGAACGTTGTAAAGTGTGAAAATGCCTCCCGGAAGTTTATAGAAGAAAAATCAAATTAAATATTTTTTTCAAAAGAATTAGAAGCTTGATTGTTCTCTTTAAATTCTGGTTATTGTGGTAGTTGTTACCAAACTGATAACTGGGAAAGCATTCATGGACTCACCTTTAATTCAAATGCAGGATAATCTCTGGAGGAATCCTCAAAGGGGTCTAAACCTATTTTCCAAGCGTTATCAGATTTAACTCCTCTTTTGCAAGTTATGTACCCCAATGAGATTGGACTCCCTGTTCCTCCTGAAATATTCCCTTGGTTTTCTTATAACCCATGCCTCTGCTCTCTCTGACCTCCCCTATCCGGCATTTAATCACCCTTCCAGCTTCATCTCTAAACTTTAACCCATCCCCCCCAACCCCGGGGCCATCGCAAATCCTACCGCCTCCCTACAAAGAGAGCTGCTTTCCCAAAAGAATATGAGCTTTCCTCTGATACACTGCAGGGTTCTGACGGAATGCTCCTTCTATGAATTTTGTTTGATCTCTGTGTTGTACCATTTGCATATTTCCAATCTCCATATCTGGTTGCATCATTTTTAAGGGCAAGGACTTTGTCTTAATCATTTTGGGCCAGCCTAGGAAAGTGCCTTGAGCATAAAAGCTGCTCAGAAAGTGTTGCTTGTACATTCCAGTGGTCTGGGGCCCTGCAGCTTTCTAACCTGTGTCCTCTCCATGTTGATATGGAAGGATTTCCAGGGATGCTGTGGGAGGTCCATCTTCCCCGACACACCAGCCCTATGGAAAAGCAAGAGAACCGGGCTGTCCGGAAGAGGGGAGCAGATGCCTGGATCCCACTTGCCATCCCAAAAGCATGAACTGCTGTGGGAACTGCCCTCCGACAGGATGCAGCTAGGGAAGCAGACAGAGGCGTGAGACAGTCCTTCTAGACACTGGACAGCCGGAGTGCGGGGCCACGGCTGCGGAGACGGGGGCCACACAAGCGAGACCCCTTGTCTCCGGTCTCCTGTGGGAAGCAGGCTCCAGGCCAAAGCACGGGGCAGGAGAACCCAAGCAGACCAGCGAGTCTTCTGAGTCCGAGAGATGGATTCAAGGTTCGGGCAGCACGAGACTCCCGTTCTCGGTGCGGAAAATCAGAAGGGGGCATCTGGATGGGGGTGGAGCACCCATGTGCAGCAGAGGACTCTCCTGAATCATGTCCCAGTGCTGGTCTGAGCATGCCTCGGGTGAAACTTGGCAAGCCCAGAGGAAAACAAAAACACCCCAAAGGGATTGGATGGATAATTCCAGGAACACATACCAGGCTGACCCATGTGCCTTCCCACAGCAACGCGGAGAGAGCCCTCAGAAAGGGATTGCATCTGTAGCTGGGCTGTTGAGCTCTAGGGTGGACTGTTCCGGAACCTCTCTGGGTGATAACGATGTGTCAATGCAGGCGCATCAGTTGTAACTAATGTGACCTCTGGGAGGATATGGATCCTGAGGGAGGCCTTGCAGGTGTGAAGACAGAGGGTATGTGGGAAATCTCCTTACCTTCTGCTCAGTGTTGTTGTGAACTTAAACTGCTCTGAAAAATGAAGTCTATTTTAAAAAAATAAGGTAAAACTTTTTAAACAACAACAACAAAAAGCTAAGAAAATTCCTTACCAGAAAACCTGCACTATTAAAAAAAAAAAAAAAATTCTCCAGTCAGAAGAAAATTAATGCCAGATGGAAATTTGGCTCTGTGGGATGGAATAAGGTGAGCAGCTAAGATTCTGTCTCAAAGGGAGGATTGTCAGCTTCTTAAAAAATAAGATACATGCTCTCTATAAGAAACCCAACTGAGGTGTCAAATGGAAAGGCAAAGATAGATTAAAAATAAGACTGGAAACAGATATGCTAAGGAAACACTGATCTAAAGAAAACAGAATTGGCCTTGTTGGCTAATTGCCTATAAATCAGAGTATATTTTAGAAGGAGTATGACCAGAGATAAAAAAAAAAAAAGATATTTTTCCCAGTTATAAAGTGGTTAATTCACCAAGAACACATATTAGTGCTAAGTTAGAATGCCCTTAGTAACAAAGTCCCAGAAGTCTTAAAGGAAAACTGATAGAAATTAGAGGAGAAACCGTTACATAAGCAATTACAATTAGGTATTGCCACCCTTCACTTGTAATGAAAAGAAAAAGCAGATCAGGAATAATACAGAAGACATGAGCAACAATATCATCCAGTGTGACCTAATTGAAATTTATAGGACACTCTACCCAATAATCACAGGATCCATTAAAATATTACACAGTACAGTTCCTACTGGGCTATAAAACAAGTCTCAAAACTGAAAACAATTTAACATTATTCAGTGTATATCATACACAGATATACACCGTGTCCATCCACAGTGGAATTTACGAAGATATGGATTACAGAAAGGTATCTGGAAAAATCCCCAAATATGTGGAAATTAATCAACATGCTTCTAACGGGTACAAGAAGAAATCACATGAGAAGTTAGAAAATATTTTAAACTGATCAAAAATGAAAACAGCATACCAAAATTTGTGGGAATGCGGCTTAAGCAGTGCTTAGAGAGAAATTTGTAACATCAAATGCTTTTAAGATAGATAGGGGTAAAGCTCACAAATCAACAATGTAGATTTCTACCCTAAGGAACTAGAACAAAGGGAGGTAAACCCAAAGTAGAAAGGATAAAAGTGAAAAAAAAAGAAAATGGACACATAGTCGTCTTTGAGAGGATCATAACATTGTTAGAGCTTTAATTAGGTTCATTAAAGGGGAAAAAGAAAAAAAAAAGAAATTACAAGATGCTCAGATATACACACTCCCTTTTGGCAGGCAGGAAAATGAGAACATTTATACATCTTAGGGTGATTTAGACAGAGTCTGCACAAGGTGACTATAATTCACACCCTCATCATTATCTCTTACAAGGTCAGGCCATGCCCCTCCCCCCTTTTTTCTCTTAAATTTAAGATATGCTAGGGGCGCCTGGGTGGCTCAGTCGGTTGAGCGACTGCCTTCGGCTCAGGTCATGATCCTGGAGTCCCGGGATCGAGTCCCGCATCTGGCTCCCTGCTCGGCGGGGAGTCTGCTTCTCCCTCTGACCCTCCTCCCTCTTGTGCTCTCTCTCATTCTCTCTCTCGCAAAAAAAAAAAAAAAAAAAGATATGCTACCAAAAGCAACTACACATTCTAAGCAAATCGGCATCAAAATTCCAACTGCCATTTGTACACTTCTTCTTTGGAAAATGTCTATTCAGGTCCTTTGTCCATTTTTCAAATCAGATTGTATGTTGTTTTACTGTTGAGTTGTACGTTTTCCCTATATATTTTGGATATCAACCCCTTACCAGATATATGGTTTGTAAACATTTTCTCGCAATCTGTAGGTTGCCTTTTCATTTTGTTGTTTCTTTGCCTCTGTGTGGTCAACAGACACATGAAAAGATGCTCTGCAGCACTCATCATTAGGAAATGCAAATCAAAACCACAATGAGATATCACTTCACACCTGATAGGATGGCTAGCATAAAAAAACAAAACAGATGTTGGTAAGAGTGTAGAGAAAAGGGAACTCTGGTACACTATTAATAGGAATGTAAATTGATATGGCCACTATGAAAAACAGTAAGCAGTTCCTCAAGAAAAAGAAATACCAGGTGATTTAGCAATCCCACTTCTGAGTATATACTAAAGGAAACGAAACCAAAATCCTGAAGAGCTATATGCATTCCCATGCTCACTGCAGCATTACTCACAATAGCCAGGATATGGAAACGACCTACATGCCCATCAGTGGACGGATAGATAAAGAATTGTGCTATATGCAAAATGGAATATTGTTCAGCCATTAGAAGGAAGGAATGACTCCTGTCATTTACCACAACACGGACAGCACTGAGGGCATTATGCTAAGTGGAATAAGACAGACACAGAGGAAAGGAAAAAGAACTACATGTTGTCACTGATACGTGGAATCTACAAGAGTCAAATACTAAAAGCAGAGTCGGATGGTGGTTACCAGGGGCGGGTTGCTGAGGGAAATGGGGAGACGTTGGTCAAAGGGCACAGAGTGGTAGTCAGGTAAGATGAGTAAGTAGCGATCTCGTGTCCAGCGTATGACTGTACTTAGTAATACGGTATTGAACCCAGGAAATTTGCTAGGAGAGTAGATTTCAGGGGCTCTCACCACACACACAAACGATGGTAATTATGTGAGGAGATATGCTAATTAGCTTGACTGCAGTAATCATGTCAGTATGTATACATATCAAATCATTTTGTATACCTTAAATATATACAATTTTTATTTTATTTTTTAAAGATTTTATTTATTTGTTTGACAGAGAGCATGCTAGAGAGAGAAAGAGTGAGAGTGTGCAAGCACGAGCAGGGGGGAGGGGAAGAGGGAGTGGGAGGAGCAGAGTCATTCGTTGTGTATAACACCCAGTGCTCACCACACAACAGGTTTCTTAACCAGGGTCGTTTTCCATGATAAGCTACTTACATATTAGGTTCTTGCTAGACAATTCCTACACTTCCAGCTGCATCTTTTTCTCCCATCTCAGCCCCAGAACTTCATCAACTGCATTTGCTGGAAAACAAAATGATAAAAATAGCCACCTGCTGGCTGTTTCTGATTCTGTTTCAGTGGTGGAGACTGACTCAGCAGAGCTTCGGAGAGATCTTCTCTCTCCGAGCGGAGCTGACCTGTCATGGAGCCCTCGCCAAACCCCATCCCAGCTGTGGATCAGAGCCTTGACCGGCTGCTTCTGCAACAGTAAGGACCCCCTGCGACCTCAGCAGCACCAGTCTCTGTCCAAAAACTGTACCCAAATAATTATAGACTCAGGTTTTACTGACACGAATGCAGCCTTGGGGAGGGAAGCCCCTGCAGGTTTACTCAAGGGGACGCTAACACAGGTCGTCTTTCTGACACAGTGCTTGGAATTCTGACGCTCTTTTGCCTTTTTTATCTTATTTTTAGGTTTCACTAAAATATTATTTGCAGGACTCGAGCATAAAATTAGCCACACAAAAGATCCAAAGCTGCACTGCT